TGGTCTTTAGAAAGGTTAGTGTGTGACCCTTCAGATCAATTAGAGTTTCAAAGTGATGAAGCATGGGTAACTAAGGTTAGCCTCTTGAAATTCCATTCATCCAGGCAATTTTGTATATCCAGCAGTGTGACAATTCCTTTTTGTGGCCACTTTGCACTGCTTTGCTTATAACTAGAATATAACTGCACAAAAGTGAAGGTATAAATTCATCAAGTAAGAAAATATATATTTGCAATCTTAGTATCAGTCTGGAGAATTGAAGTGTCCAAATACTGAGGACTACTGAAGTCAAACAGAAACTGATGATCTGAGAAACCGAAGTTTATTTATCAAGTCAAGTATTTGATGATTTTGGAAACCAGGTAAAAGACACATGTTTTAATTTTAATTTTCATAAAAATGTTATGACAGTTAGGCTCTTTTTTCCAATTCAGGTTTCTCGAGAATTGTCTCCTAGATATATATAAGACTTGTAACACACTGTTATACAAGTAGACACAGGAATGCAAGCAGAGGTGATCTGACATACTGGCTACAAAGTTTCAGGTTCATTTTCACCATAGTGACAGGAGAGGGATCCTAGGCTGAGAAAGTAAAAAAAAAAACCCTAATATTGCAATAGATTGGTCAACTTGGGAACAGTTTGATATGTTGTAATGATTCAGTGACAACTATTTTTTGTTAATTTCCCTGCTGTGATTATGAGGCTATAAGAAGAAGATACAGTTAATTACAGATTTATTAACTGTATGATCTTCCTTAAAAGTTACCTACATCTAAGCACAAATCAAGTGATTTTTTTAAATAACAGAAACATCATGATTGACAACAGCAAGACTGCTCCAAAGTACACTTAGTTGGGTGAAGGACTCACTAATAGCTACTATCTCTTCCTTTACATTTCAACTTCTTGCCTCATATTTGCCTGCTACAGGCTAGTGGCAACACGTCCCACACCTAAGGACAATTTTTATCCCTGACAGAAGCCAAATCTTACATATAACTGGGTAATTATATGAGAGCTATCTTTAAAATCACTGACTTGGGAATTGCTGACTATGCAGTGGCTGAGAGCTCAGCATAAGTGAAGCCCCACAGCATTTACCTTACTTCTCGGCTGAATTTTGCAGCCCACACTGAGTTCTGCATTGCTACACTCAGCTGTTTCCAGAGTTGAAGATGGCTCATTAAGGTCTCCTAAACCTGCTGCCACAGTGAAGTAACGTAACTAAAAAAAATGGGTCCTTGAACTAGGATTCTCTTATCCAAGCATGATTTTCATGCATCTTGTTATTGAGATACTTTATTAAAACCTTTGTTAATCTGTATGAACAGATAAAATTTCCCAAAGAAGGTTGTTGTGGGTTTTTTTTTCCACAAGTTATCTATGAGAAACAGAGTTTTAAAAGTCCTTTCTGATTCCTAATGATACTCAATGAGACTAAAAATACTTTAATTACTACTGGTCATCACTCAGTATTATTAAAAATTTAGCAAAAATATAGACTACCACCTGGCCTCACTTATAGGGAGTTTCTGCAGTACAAATTATAAAGGCAAATATATTCTCTCTACTGGGTAGGGATATGCAATTAACTCCAATTAAGAAAAAAAAAGTTAACATTTATTCTCTAATGTAGCTCAGACTTCATTCAACATTTCCTAAATAAAGTATATGACATTATGAGGTGCAAGGATGGACTGTGGTACAGAATGTCCAAGCTACCAAAGGTTCAAGTTAGGTCTGTTAGGGTCTTCAACAGTAGAGACCCAAAGGTAGCATGGTGATGCACCTAAGCTGCTGCTACCAGTATTCTGGACTCTAGATAGCTGATCAAAACCACACTAACTTGATGAAGATACTTAATAATGCCTACTTTACCATTAGAATTATCCAGAGGTTTGAGCTTTAGCCATTTATTCAAAGTTTACACCTTTTCCAAGATGATTTGTTACTGTAGTTCACAAAATTTCATTACATCCCTAAAAGCAAAAGGGCAATACTAATGCATGCCTTACGAACTAATAAAATTTTATGACTATTTTTCAAGGTTAAATATATCGTGTGACTTCTTTTTTAAATGGAAGGGCAGTGTAAAATTAAAATGAGCAGCAGAAATATCTAGTTTAAGGAATAAGAATACTGACCTGAACAGCCCAACAGAAGAATCAGTAAGACTGATTTGTGAACCAATTACTTTGTAAAATTCATTTTAAGACATTGATCTACAAAATTTATATTTTACTTAGCAGAAAAAATTACTGCAAAGACTGCAGTATTTCAAGAATCTTCCTATCACATCTTAATTATTATTTTAAAGGCAGAAATGTCAAGGGATACCAACACACTTTGCCAAATTTGACTGATCAATCTATCACAGAAACAAAGAACAGTTTAACTTGAACTCAGTCACATTTCCGGTCTTTATTACTCTTACATTTGTCCTAATTAGAAACAAGTGCTTTAACTGCCAGCATAAACCAATAATGTAACTGTTCATCTTCCTATATAAACCTAATTTCTTACAAACAGACATAAAACTAACACAACACAGAATTTCAGAAGTAGAAGTAATGAACTTTGTGACTACTTTTATTTGCTTTCTATTCAGTTTTTCTCCCTGATATCTAAGAAATATTTACCACTCGGTATATGGGGTTCTCATCCTCTGCAATTCCCTACCAGTTCAACAACAAAATTTTGGAGAACTACAGAGCAGTCTGGGTTTTTTCCCCAGTAGATCAGAGAATGACGATTGGCAAGGTGACTATTCCCAACCTGTTATAAGTTGATCACACTGTCCTACCACCTAGGGAAAGGAGACTGACAGATGCAATTTTATGTTCAAAGTGCTACTTCATGCTCTATAAAGAACTCTACATTATGACACAGTACAGAACTTTGAAACAGTATTCCCAAAGTCAGCATGTCTCAGTGACACAAAAACAGGGCAATTCAGGAAATAAAAGTATGCAAATCAGATATTTCTTTTAAATAAATTATCTCTATAATCATACATAACTTATTCAAGCAATAAATTTATATGACCTAAAGTGGCAGGGCAACATTCACATACACATAGTGCTAAATACCTTATAACTGAGGGGGACATGATTTACTAATTTGGGCCATTTGCAGTACAAGATAATCGCCAACATGATTCCAGATATGGCTTGCAAGCCAGGCCAGTTAGAAAACTTTAACATTTATAGCTTAAAATAAAATCACATTTTAAAATCTGCTTATCTACACATCCAAATGTTCTTCCCAATAAAATGCCAAGGAAAATATCACAGTGGTATATGGAAAACTAAGACAGAAGGAATTACAGGACATTTGTATTGTCAACTCATTGATCTTGTTAGTTCTTATAAATATTATGGGTGCCCTCATGACTGTCCTACAGCTTCTGAGGTTATACTCTGGGCCTCTGATACACACTATATTTAACCTTACACAAAACAAATTTCCAGATTAAGACCTAAAAATGTCCTTTTTAGGATCTGTGTTTCAGACTGATCTTAATGGATTTACTATGTCTAAGAAAAATGCTTGTGTTCAGCAGACAGCACGCTTCCAAATCCTGGTATTTTAACTAGTGAAAACTCTATCTTTTCTTAAAATACTAGTTACAATGGAAAACTTTTTTCTTGAGCCTCTCTCCCTACCAATTTACTGGATAGGGGTATGGCAGTCTTTCCAGTGCAATATATATGTTTATTGTGATTAATCAAGTAGAAGTTTGGGGGGGGGAAAGTTAATTTGGCATTTTCTTCCTTTACTGAACAACAACCCACGATATTGTCCTGCACAGATTGATTATTTTTTAGATTATCAGAGCCAAAACAGTCAGTAAAGTAAGCCTTCAGTGACACAAGTAGTCATGCTGATGTTCAAAGTCAAATTCTGGTCCATTCTGTGCAATATGCTATAAAGCTCCTATCCTATTTTGTGCCGCCTCTCAGACTGCTGTTTATAATGTAGATTGCCTCAAGTCTTTTTTAGCCCAAATTTAGTGGAGAGGTGGCAATTACGATCCACTTCACCTTACCCTGCAGACACCAAAGCTCTGTCTTCATATCTGCCCTTATATATTATGCCCAATATAGCTCTGGCACTCTTCCAATACTAGTTCAGCTGTGAGATCAAGAAGGTGCTTCCCCTTACACAGACATGATGTTAGTCAACAAGCATCTGTCATTCTCCTATACTCTTGTATATTACCCAAATCATGATTCATAATCAAGATAGCACAGGTCGAAAAGTCAATTGCCTGTTTCAAATAGGTCTCTGCTGCTGAGAACTGTCATTTGTCAAAGTAGACTCCCAGTTTAATTACTTACAGAGAAATTACTATATTCTGAAATTTCTGTACCAGGTGGTGACTAATCAAGAGTTCAAACAAGGGTGATGGAAGAGATCATATAATTTTGGCGAATATAAACAGACTCCTTACACATAATATCATGCATCTGACTTAGCACAATTCTATTGTTTTTAAACTGCTTTAACTCATTGCTGTTCAAACCTTTATATAATACAAACAACAGTCTGTCAAAATGTCATTTAATATTTTTCTCAATTCTCAGCCACTAATTTTCAAAAATGGAGCAGATCTTCCTTTCTGTAACATGAAAACGCAAAGCACTTTACATTTTGAACTAGTTCTATAATGTTGCTAAGCACTTCATTAAGAAAAACAATAGCTTGGTAAATAGATTCCCACAAAAGGCTGGGCTTAAAGAAACTCTATTTCTAATTTGGCTTTTGGCAACCTTCCTATCTAGGAAAGTATTTAAACCTCTGCTTTGTTTTCCCTTCTACAACTTTTTGCTATTAATCTTTATTCTGATGTTAAGCTCTCACGGTAGCTAATGGAAGACTATAATCATGCTGTGGTAAGTAAACAGAGTACTGTATGCTTAAAAATATAAACCTATACCTTCTATAACATTACACTTACACCAATGACTATGTAAAGGATTATTTGGTGATTTACCTGGTCTTGAGGAAGGAACTCTTGCTATCTCTAGGGAACAAGGCTTTTTGGTCACTGCTACGTCTATCGAATCACAATGACTGCTGTCATTTTCTGAAGGAACTGCATCCAGAGGTACAGAGGATATTGCTTCCAATGCATAACCTCTCTTCTTTGAATAAGATTCCTGAAATGCAAAAATTCAAGCAGGTAAGAGAGATATTTCTCAGATGACACAGGAAAAGAACCAGGGTCAATAACTCTAGCTAGTCGGGTTTAAAATTCAACAAATTAAATACCACATTCTGTTGAAATCCAAATTGTAACAGACTGGAAGAACTACTTGGATTCTAGAAGACAACATTTCTGTTTCTTTAAATTTTTGTGTAATATAATGCTTGTTTAATTTACAGAAAAACTTTATTCATCAAACTTGGTATTTAGTGAAATATATAACTGGTCTTGGTATTTAGTGAAAGCTGTATAACTGGTCTTACCATATCTGCTTTGCTAGGTTCTAATTCAGGAGATGTCTTTTTTTTTTTTTAATTATATCTCATGAGAGTGAAAATTACATTAACGACTGCAATTACTTTCTCTTCAGGGATGGGTTTGCAGTATGTTTATATTATATATAAGAAAACTAAAAATATGCCTTCTACATTAGGATGGCAGAATCCCAGTTTGTGAATGAAGATGAAATACTGCTCTACATTTGAGCAAAATAATGATGAAAGGTCCCTTAACAGTGATATATATATATAAAATTCTACTCATTAGCAAATGTTGAGGGAGGGAAAAAAGGAATTCGATGTTTTGCTGGTACAGTAAACAGTCCAATCCAGCAGACTGTCTCTGCCTTAGAATGTGAATAAGAAGACAATATACAGCTTCACCAAAGTTTCTTGATTTGTGATTTTTTTCTTTTTAATCCCAGTAGAAAGCAATTGCTCGGGCAAAGACACGCTTTCATTTCTTTCTTACACTGGACATGTGGATGTCTTGGAAAGTCAAGCATCAGACATAAATCAAATATGATATAATAAAAAGCAAAAGGCAAGAAAGCACCCTGACAGTTATATACTATCATAGCCCTACTCAGAAAATGATGAAAGAATGTGATGACTAGAACAAAATGTGGAAGAACAATTTCCTCACCAAGAACTTATGTTACCTAAGTAAACTATGGCTGTAGGTAACAGTGACTTTTCAGGAAAATGATTTATACTGTTAGCAGATCATTACATCACTGAATTTTTTTAGGTATTTATTTTTTTTCTGGTCACTTTGGTCATCTGATCTTCATATGAGAATTCATAGTCTGGTAATAATTCAAGGCCTCTTGAAGGATAGGGTTGAGACGGCAGCAACAGGAGCTTCACTTCAAAATTCTACTTGATGACTTCAGTTGAGACAGATTTAAATTCTAAGCTAAACCACCACAACTAAAGAACTTTAAAATGAATACTGGAAACAGTGAACAGGGAAAAAATCATATCAAATAAAATAAACAGATACTAACAAGCATTTGTAATTAAAAAGATTACAAGATTGCTGGTCGGCGTTCAAAAAACATGTCTGAAAGCAGGATGTGATTGTGTCTCTACCTCTTTTACTCTATCCAGTTCATATCTAGTCAGAGTATGAGCTTTTTGCATTAGTAATCCCACAGATATAAACTAATAGTAAGTAGTTTTAGCTAGCAGACTCTAAAGACGTAACAAGGAATTATAAAAGTTTGTAAGTGGCCTTCCTGCAGCTCCAAATATAACTTTTTTAACTTAAGCCATTTCATTCCTAAATTGATAGATAATTATTGAGAGGCATCAAAGCAGCTGAAGTGCAATGGCAGGACAAAAGGAGTCCTTCCTACCTTGAAAAAAAAAGGAATTCCTACATTGTCCATTTAAGTCTGCTCTAAAAAAACAGAGGCAAAAAATTATTTACCAAAGCAATGACCAGAACAGCAGATCCCAATTTAATCCTTGTATTCTTCTAGAAGCTTGCATTTCAGTCAGAATGCCAAAACCTTAATAATAGTATATCTGCCTAGAGAAGCACATGAAGAAACACTGCAGTCTTAAAATTGTCACCAAACACCAAAGTGAAACTCTTCTCAGATCCTGAATTTGGCTACATTAAAAAAAACCTTTAAAAATTATATACTAAACATTAGAATAGAAATTGGATCATACTTTGTCACCCAATATTCTGTCTGTAAAGGCAGCCAACAGTACTGACCTAGAGAACAGTGAAACCACCATGGGACCAGGACAAGCACGGAGTGATGCTTCTCATCCTGCAACACTTTGAAGGTCTCACATTTCATAATCAAAAGGTGCTGACTTTGTTTTGCATGTCTACCAATCCAACTTTCTAAAATGCTTCTAAAATTACCTTCTCAAGTTACTTTCAGAGCTCACGTTCCTTTTTACAGTTTGCAGGCACCGCATTTTGGTTTCAGCTATCTCACCAAGTTTGATTTCGCTAATTCTTACACTTTAGAAGGCAATGAACAGTTGTTCTTTACTTATCTTCTATTTATGCTTCCCTTGTCTTCTCCTTTAGGGACTGAGAAATACTAACTTACACACCCAGCTGTTCCAGGATTTTGACCACCCCTGTCACTGCTCACCCTCTCAGCCTTCAGTGATGTAACAAGGATCAGATTTTCACATGGCATTCAAGATGAGGGCTCACCAAGTAGGCATACTGTCATAATGATGTTCCCTCTTTTGTACTCTACTCCTTTCCTAATTACTTTTAACATTCAGTTTGGTTTTCTGAACATTATTGAATATTTTGTAATTAACACTGCACAAATATAAACGTCAGTGGAGAATAACTAAAAATGATGGGGTTACTGAGAAAATGGTTGGAATGTAAATTACAGGTAAGTAAATTCTTCCTAAATATCTCCCTAATAAAGCAAATATGATAATAGTATGCCCAGTAGTAAGAGTCAAAAAGGAATTAAGACTTTAACAAGTCTAGAATTCTATCAAGTGATTACATGAAGACAACAAACCTTAATTAAAAATTCCATACGTAGGAAATTCTCTTTGCTGCAGAAAAGCATTGTAAAGTCTTCTGATTGTTGCAGTGTGTTTTCCATTTTGCTGGTCCTGAACATTTCTAGAAATTTTTAGGATCTAAACTATTTCAATTTAGATGTTAGCAGATGACATAACATTGTCTACAAATATCAGGGATAAAGCAATGTGATTCTGTTTTTTTCTAAGATTAAAAGCATTCTTAATAATATCTTCAGCATTCTTCTCAATAATATGGGTTCTATTGTCTCACCTCACCAAGTGCCATAACCAGTAACTTTACAGTAATTCTACATGTCCAAGTTATCATCTTCATAATAAAACCTTCTAAAAATAATTTTCCATTATCTTTAGTCCTGAAATCAAAATAATCTGTGTAATTTTTGTTTTAAAAATAGAGATTATTCCATCTCAAATTTCTGTCAACTATTCCAAAATGTTGAAAATGAGACATGTAACTGAATACCACTATCAAGTCAGAATTAGTCCTTACTTGAAATTGCAACTTCATAAAAGTAATGTGCTGGGCTTCTAGCAGATTAAAATAAGTCTTTTTTGTGGAAAGGATAAAAATACATACACAATAGAAGTAATAAAAAAAAGAGAAGATAGAGAGATAGAGAGTGGATGAGTCACTGGGATAGCATTAGAGAACAGTCACCCATACGGATAAAATCTAAAGTAGATTTTTGTCTTGTAGAAAGAAACAGCAATGTGACAGTGAAGTTGCAGAGCACATGCCAGGGACACACTGTGGGCCTTATTCACAGGCCTCCGGGTTTTTTCTGAGCATATGCTTGATAGTATAATACCTATGAAATGTTATCTGAAACCTTAACAGGACTAAAAGATTGTTTATCAGTGGGAAAGAATTTGCTTCTAAAATATCTATATGTCCATTGCAAAGGGTTATATACAGTTGTGAAACAATATGCCATAACACGACTAAATCTTCAAAAACTACATGATGTTGAGTTAGACCTTTTTCCCACGTTTTTGCCAGATTTCTATCTACTCTTGCTTCTGCCTTCTATATACTATTGCATTTCTTTTAAGAATCAAACTGAATAATGTATACTTAAGGACTGAGATATAAGCAGTATATACAAATTTGTGTTTGTATGAGCTATGAATAAAATGACAGAGGTTCAGCAGGCATCTAATCTGAACAGACACTCTGACAAGAAGATAGAATTTGTACTTAACAGAAAATTTTCAATTCTTCCATCCCCTTTCCTATAGAAATCAGGTCAGTTGAAGCTTTAATACTTCCCTGGAACACGGGACAACACACCAGAGTCAGACATGACTTTCCTCTTAAAGGAGAAATAAACTCATAAATGTAGAAAGGAGGAATGCAATACATCTGACATCTTTAAAAATATTTTCTTTCATTTATGTAGACAATGAAGAACTGCTACTAAACTCTGACATACCCCTTGAGATCCTTTTCCCCTGGCTTGCTGCATGCCAGAGGACCAGCATGAAGAATCCAAGTGACTTTCCTTCTACCATAGTGGGATAAATTCTGCCTAGTTCTTCTTAAGAGAGTACTGTGAGACTTAATTAATTAAAACTGTGGAGAATTCTTGATTCTCAACACTCCATCAACCCAAAGCTGATGATTACAATGAGAGTGAGCAATGAATATTGCATTTATCCCATTTATGTCATAGAATCATAGAATTATAGAATGGTTTGGGTTAGAAGGGACCTTTAAAGGTACTCTAGTCCAGCCCCCTGCAATGAGCAGGATGTCTTCAAGTAGACCAGATTACTCAGAGCCCAATCCAATCTGATCTTGAATGTTTCCACATATGTGGCATCTACCACCTCCCCTGGGAAACCTGTTAAGAGTGTTTCACCATGCTCATCATAAAAAATTTCTTCCTTACATCTAGTCTGAGTGTATTTGCATCAAACATATTTCTTGACATTTGTAAACAGACTGATGTATAATATTATTGAGTTGGGACATTTCACACTGAAAAATTAATGATAAGTAATCGAAGGTTGCTGAGAGGAATGAAGAATTCAAGAAAGAAAGAAGTTCTGACCAGTGACCAAAGATAATTAGGACAGTTTTTTGACATGCAGCAAGTCGTGGGGGAACTGAACCTGAAGGGTGCTGTGC